AAATGTACATAAACAGAGACAACAAAAGAAAAAATTAGTGCTTTAAAAAGAAATCTCAAGATTAAGGCTTACAGAAGCGACTCGAGGACGGAGCGGATCGAGCTGTTCTCTCTCGTCTCGGCGCTCGAAGAATAAGCATCGTATTGCAATAAGAATATCTAATAAACATAACGATAATATTAGAAGTGTGAACAATAAATTGGAGCCAGTCGATTTAAAATACATCGAGTTGCCTTTAATTTGATTACACTCATTTGAACCCGCAAGAACACAAGAAATGTATATGTTTCTTATATCATGTATTATATTTTTTTAAAAGTCTCGAATATCTTAATATCGCGTATGGCAAGTCGAGAGTGTCGAATCCAGAAAGGACGATTGTTTCGATCGACCCATTGAATTACGCGGTCGCGAATCTCGGTCGTTATAACCGGTGTTCATCGGTTAGCGCAATCATCCTTGTTTGTCGGAAGATATCCTTCTCCAAACATGTGTTGCCCATAATTCATGCTCATCTGGGAATAAATGTTTCATTCAACATTTAAAGCGGCATTGTTCAAAAGTGACGCACAATGACAATTTCGCTATCACTACCGAGACTTCATACAAATAATTACCCATCTAATATTCCTTTCCCATTCATGCTTCACATGACCGATCTAAGACTGCTCGCTGCTACCAAAATGTAACGACAACGCACTTATAAGAAAAAAAAAAAAAAAAAAGCTATCTAAATCTGCGAACTGTCTATCAAACTCGGACTTTAATTAATCTATCAATAAAACAGCAGGGAAAGTTACACACAAATCTCAAAAATTTGTTTTAAATTTCTACACAATGTATAAACTGAGCGAAATTATTTGGAAAATATTCGCGACATTTATTACGCTAGATTCGACATTACTGATTCGACATTACTTATATAATAGAAACACGTATTTGAAGAAAGAATAATCTCGCTCAATTTTTTACATTGTTAAAATTTCCGATACTACTATACTACTATACTACTATACTACTATACATTGTTCGAATTTCCAAGATTTACTTTTCTTACTGTGATTTACTGGTAGACGAATTAAAGTCAGAGTTCGATAGACGATTCGGAGATTTGGATTTACTTTCCACAAATCTATTACTTTTTAATAATTCCATGACTGCAAAAGTTAATAAAGATGAAGCAGAATCTCAATTGGAAATTTGTGATTTGCATTCGGACTTATTTATAAAAGTTGTTATAGAAAAATGCGAATAAATTTATAAATTTTTTCAAGTAATCAACCGACAACAAAAGTTGTGGCAAAGACATCCACTACAACAACAGAAATAAACACGAAAGCTGTCGTAGAAATTTCATTTGGCGTATAGGAGGTAAGAAAATTGCTTTTTTAATAAGTACATTGTTGCTACGTTTCTACAACATCGAGCAGCCTAAAATTGGCCGCGTGAAGTACAAATGAGAAGGGAATTAGGCCTATCTTACACAAATCTCGTAGCCGTAGTACAGATGTAACCGTAAGAATCAAACAATAACGAGCGTCTGTAGTATTTCAGTCAATATGGCAAAAATATTATGAACGCGCGTATTAGATGATTCTTACGGTTACGTCTATACTTACGACTACGGAAGTTATATAGAACAGGCCTTAGATAAGTAATTGTCTGCATGGAGAGTCGCGGTAATCATAGGTATATTGTCATCATCTGCCACCCTAAAACAATACTGCTAAAGCATCGAGAGAGGCCGTCAAAGGACTGTTACGACGAATCAAGATAGAAGTGACCTCACCATACGGTTCACAAAGAGATTGCGTTCGCATCCGATATTTATTGACAATCGCATTTCTGATGTACAAAGAACGCGTCATGTATGACAAGATAGAAGTGTCGAATTTAGCAATGCACGCCGATAAAGAATAACATAAATATATATATGAAAATATAAATATAAAGAATATAAGTATAAAAATAAAAATATAAAGAAAGATATGCGATAGCATATCCCGATAAATAAATTAGAACGATCATCCATCGCTAAAATTGGTACTCGCGATCCGTCACTCGCATAATCCAATAGGAAGATCGAGCGATCGTCCATCACTAGATTCGGCACTCGCGATATTGGCGGATACCACACTTCTCACAGATTGCGCGAAACACGTGTTTGGAGAACGGCGTCTAACGACAAACACTGATACGCGCGGAGCGGTGGACTCCGAATACAAAAAATCGCGGTAGACACGTACGCGTAATCCAATGGGAAGATCGAGCGATCGTCCACCGCTAAATTCGGCACTCGCAATCCGTCACTCGCGATATTGGCAGATATCACATTTATCTTCTTTTTTCTTCTTAGTTATTCCCACCGGTTGGTGAGAATTTTACGCCTTCAACCGCACTTTCAAGTTATATAATGTCTGGGGTCCTTGATACGTTTATTTATAGTTTCGTATTATACAACTCTTCCAGTCTTTTTAGGCCCGTTCTACAATAAATCGTATGTTGTTAGTCGTAAGCAAATTGACCAACCACAATCAATTATTCCGAGAATATTCTTGGAATGATCGACTGTGATTGATCAATTTGCTTACGACTAACGACTATCGACTTAATGTAGAACGGGCCTTAATAATACAGTCAAAGATTATTTTTATCTTGTCCCACTGCACTAGTGTTTAATTAAGTCAGATATACTTTCTCTACTGTCCAATACTTTCCGATTGAGTTCATTGTCCATTACCTTCTTCTCAGCGTTTATACTTGCATCACACTTATCACAGATTGCGCGAAATACGTGTTTGGAGAAATGCGCGAAGTGATGGACTCCGAATGCATATAACCGCGGTAGACACGTATGCGTAATCCAATGGGATGATCGAGCGATCGTCCATCGCTAGATTCGACACTCGCGATCCGTTACTCGCGATATTGGCAGATACCACACTTATCACAGACTGCGCGAAACATGAGTTTGGAGAACGGCATCTCGCGACAAATACTGATACGCGCGGAACGATGGACTTCGAATATAAATAATCGCGGTAGACTCGTACGCGTAATCCAATGGGAAGATCGAGCGATCGTCCATCGCTAGATTCGGCACTCCCGATTCGTCACTCGCGGTATTGGCAGACACCATACTTATCACAGACTGCGCGAAACACGTGTTTGGAGAATGACGTCTCACGACAAACACTCGAGAAAGCGATAGATGCCGGTTAAGAATCATCAAGATACGCAACCGCATAATTCAGTGGTTAGACCGAGACGATCGTTCATTGCTAAATTCAGCACTCCTCTCATCATGCATAATACATTCTCGAAATGTCAGAAATGCGATTGTCAACAAAGCGGACTCGAACGCAATCTCTGTATGAAAACCGTAAAGTGAGATCACTTCTATCTTAATTCGTTGGAGCAATACCTCGACGCTTCTCTCGATGCTTTATGTGTTGAATTGAACATCTATCACAGACGAGTGAATTACGCAAAATATGTCGTTGGAGAACGATCTCGCGACAAACACAGGATCGCGTAATCAATGGACATCGATTAAAAACGAACGAGATTTGCGACCGCGTCATCCAATGGGTAGATCGAAACGATCGTCCTTCTCTAGAGTCGACATTCTCGATTCGTCACACGCTACGTTAAAAGATATTCGAGACTTTTAAAAAAATATAACTTCAATTTAGAGAGGAGGGCAAGCCTTTCGGAAGGCAATGGCAAACCACCGAGAGTATCTTATAAAAAAAAAAACTTTAATCTAGACCGTTTGGAACCAGCGTTAAATTGTAGGTCCCATATGTCTGCGGATAATTATAAAAAGGCGCACACCGTAGATATATGTAGAGGTCACCATCCTCTGACAAGAGATGATTACGGATGGTGAAGGATATTATACATTATTTAAAAAATTATTTAATAAATATTTTAATATTTTAATAATTATTAAAAATATTTAAAAATATTTTAATAATTATTCGTCGCAAAAATATTTATATTTATATTTATGATGGGGGAGAAGGAGAACACTGCATTGCAACTAGCGTTGCATTCGCTAGAGTTTCCTGGGCTCTGATTACCGCGGGGGTTTTAGTGGGTAAAAATCCGGCACTAGCCTCGACTCCCTCTCAGCTGAGAATGCTTTGTAAGATTTCTTTTGAAAATTGTTTATGTTTTAAACATGAGCAACTAAATAATCCGACGAAAATTGAAAGAAAAAATATTTGTTTTTACCAGAAAAATATGAAAAAGAAAAAAATAAAATTTGTTAGCTCAAGAAAACATACGGTCTCAAGCTAACTTCGCAGTTTTCAAAAAAAAAAAAAAAAATTTTTTGTCGAACAATATACCCACCCATCTACATAAATTGCTAGTGTAAAAATGCATGACTTACAAAATCTACTCTTGAGACTAAAACACGTTTTGAAAATAATGTTTAACAAAAAACAAAGCTCTTTTTAAGGTTTAGAAATTGAAAAGCGGCAAGATGCCATCAAATTTAATCAACAAAATTACTCCGAGAAAGTTTTGGAAACAGATGGTGTAAACGATGCAAAATCAATGAATACTCACAGGAGCACGAATACAAATTCAATGCATTGCGGAAAGTAATGACTATCACAAAGTGAATCACTATGAGGAACTTCTAATAGAATAAAGATCAGGATATATTATTGAAAACCCGGTTGTCATCCAAGAAGAAATTATCGTGACAAGTATAGAACTTGTGGAAAAGGTAATAAAAAACTTTTTGGTTTTTCATTTAACATATCAAAAATCGCGAGAAATTTATACATCGGTCTTAGCGCTTCGAGCATTAAGACTTATTGGTAGAATTTGTAAGGTACTATTCAAAACTCATAAAATCGCCGGGATTCCAAAAAAATTTTTTTTTTGCATTTTTTCATATATTGAATAAAATAAAAATTTTTTTAAAGTTCTGACAATACTGTTGACAGTTCTGGGTAGCACCTCACGAATTCTATTCTTGCTGACCGGGTTTAGAATGGTGGCATACTCACCTTGATTGCTTTCTCCTCCTTGATACGCTGAGGATAAGTGATGTCCGCGTAATTACTATACGCGGAGTACCCTAGTAGTGTAATCTGGAGTCTTAGCCGAACTGCTGCTAAACCCGGGTACACTTGAGCCGGTATTCTGCCGTAAATATATATCACCTGAAACATTCGTTCATAACATTAAATCCACATTCATCTAATCAGGTTAAAAAAGAGCTAATTTCTAACGGTTTAATAAAAAGATATAAAAAATAAGTTAAAACGTTCTCTTCTACAAAGAGAGAGAGGGGGGAGGGAAGGAGGGAGAGAGAAAAAGTAAGAATCGAATATATGCAGTACTAACAGAAATATTATTTAAATAATGTAAAAACCGTCAAACATGTATCAATTAGTATATTCTAATATAAAAATTAATTTACACTCACCCCTGGATTTCTTTTTTTCCTGATCGTACATTATGACCACTTCCATAACTTTGCCAAAGCGAGTAAAATAGGATCTTAGGTCTGTCTCCGTCACATCACTTGGCAAACCACCAAGAAAAACTTTTGGGAAGCCATCACTACGTTTTGGTTTCTGAAGAGTGCGTGGATTACATGGTTTTGGATCAATCTGTAATATGAAATAATTATAATTACTCGTCATTTCATATCTCTCGGCATTTTCGATATATGCAACTGGACGAGTGAATAGTAATTAGCATATATATAAACTATATATTGAATTGACGGGGAGATAACTATTTTTGTAATTTAAATAGTATTAAGTGTGAATACACACCGCTTTTAATTTATTTATTATATAAGTATTATTTTAAAAAATGTTAGTTTATAATATAATTATACCGTTTAATTAATGTGTGTGTGTGACTTTGTATTTTATATTTAGAATTAAATATTACTTTTATTTAAGAAATAGAGTATTACATAAACATTATGTGTGCAGAATATTATATTAATTAATATAAAGTAACTAATTAACCTAAAATATACAATAATTCGTAAAGATAATTGTAAATGGTAATATATAATGCGCATATACATATATTTCTAAACTTTATCTCAAAAATTTATTTTTAATGCGAATTTAAAATTCATTTTACAGTTTTTGATAAAAAAATAATTTAACAATATATTTGCATGATATCTTTTCTTTTCAGGTCGAAATTAAACGTGCAGAACCGCGAGACTCGTCCAGCAAGATGAACAATAATAATCAGGGTCAGTACGGCCCAACAGAATGACCCATCGATGGGAATGGCCGGGAATATGGGGCCTATGGGTGGCCCAAACGGGCAAATGGCCTAAGATGGGAGGACCATAGACATAGTATATCTAGACCGAGTATCGAGGAGTGGGGGCCAAGGTACACGTAGAAAAGGACGTACTCTGTTCCGTGCCCCTTACGTTCTCTCTCGCTCGCACGTAGCATAGCGAAAGAGAACGTTATGCTACGTACGAGCGAGAGAAAACGCAAGGGGCACGAAACAGAGTATGTCCTTTTCTAAAAGCATCTTTACCCCCACTCCTTAAATAAAGGCAAACGCTCGGTCTAGATATATTATGTCAATGGGGAGGACCAATGGGCCCGCCTGGTAACATGATGCAACAATATCAGAGTTGGGGCACTAGCCCCCAAACCGGTGCATACGCCAGATATAGTACCCAATACAATGCTCAAAGTTGGGGTGCACCACCGGAACCACCTCAACAATAACAAATCCCGCCGCCGCATCAGCGGGGAGGGAAGCAACTATAATGTTCAACCTGCTGCAGTTACCCAGGACTATGGAAGTTATAGTAATTTCAGAAATAATTAATATTCAAATATTTTCCTTTCACTTTTATACTTTAAAGAAAAAAATATTAATCAATTAAGATTGATCAAAGTCTTACATAATTTAATTGATTATATGATTATCAAAAAGTAATTAAACATTTTTGTTGATAACAATAATAATAATTTCTTGTTGATCGAAGTATATATAAATTTTATAAAAATTTGATAATATATTAACAAAAAAAATCCGTATGTTTCTATATGTTTTTTCAATCTTCTTTTCTTGTTGTTGAAAAAAAGATTGAAAAAACATACAAAAATACGGATTTTCTTTGTTAACATATTATTAAATTTTTATAAAATTTATATATACTTCGACCAACAAGAAATTATTATTATTGTTATCAACAAAAATGTTTAATTACTTTTTGATAATTATATAATCAATTAAATTCATTATAAAATTTAAATTTAAATTTAAATAATTAAACAACATAGTTAATTTGAATAATATTTTTGTTAAACAGGATTCAGCTTTCTCAGCTTCAAGAATGAAGAAGCAGTGGACAGATGCGTCATGGAGCATTTTGTCAATTTAAATGGAAAACAGGTATAACACATCAATACACCATCGCCATGTAACCATGATGCTGCACAAAACCATATATTATCATGACATATGATTTTGTGTGACAAATAGAAAATAAGTATACGTATATGTACATTGTCAATATGAATTGTTCTCTTGCGATTAGAAATATTACATAGAAACTTTAGTCACATAAATTACTACCATTAATTCATACGAGTAATTTTATTAAATGTGCTATTCCAGTAATCTATTTTATAAAAATACAGTTTACAAAAAAAAAACCAACATTTATATGTTATCTTTTTTTTTGTGAACTAGATTTTTACAAAATAGATTACTGAATAGCACATTTAATAAAATTACTCGTATGAATTAATCGTAATAATTTGTGTGACTAAAGTTCCTATGTAATATTTCTAATTGCAAGAGAACAATACATATTGACAATGTACATATACATATACTTATTTTCTATTCGTCACACAAAATCATATGTCATGATAATATATGGTCTTGTGCAGCATCATGGTTACATGGCGATGGTGTATTGATGTGTTATACCTGTTTTCCATTTAGGTTGTCAAAATGCTCCATGACGCATCTGTCCACTGCTTCTTCATCCTCGAAAATGAGAAATCTGAATCCTGTTTAACAGAAATATTATTCAAATTAACTATGTTGTTTAATTATTTAAATTTACATTTAAATTTTATGATGAATTTAATTGATTATATGATTATTGAAAAGTAATTAAACATTTTTCTTGATAACAATAATAATAATTTCTTGTTGGTCAAAGTATATATAAATTTTATAAAAATTTAATAATATATTAACAAAGATAATCCGTATTTTTCTATGTTTTTTCAATCTTTTTTTTTGTTGTTGAAAAAATATTAACAATCGATATTTGATTAGCAAATAAGATAACCAAAAACATTTTTATAGAAAAATTATTATTGACCATGTTTTCTTCTATTTGTATCAATTAACAAATTAAAATTAGAAGATCTTCTAACTCTTTATATATTAAATTTTTTCATTTATATTTTATCATACATATACTTATTTTCTATTTGCCACACAAAATCATATGTCAAAATAATATATGATCTTGTACAGCATCATGATTACATGGCGATGATGTATTGATGTGTTATACCTGTTTTCCATTTAGGTTGACTAAATGCTCCACGACGCATCTGTCCACTGTTTCTTCATCCTCGAAGCTGAGGAAGCTGAATCCTGTTTAACAAAAATATTATTTAAATGATGTGAAAACCTGTATCAATTAGTATATCCTAATATAAAAATTAATTTACACTCACCCCTGGATTTCTTTTTTTCTTGATCGTACATTATGACCACTTCCATAACTGCCAAAGCGAATAAAATAGGATCTTAGGTCTGTCTCCGTCACATTACTTGGCAAACCACCAAGAAAAACTTTTTGAAAGCCACCCCTACGTTTTGGTTTCTGAAGAGTACGTGGATTACAAGTGGATTAACAAAAATATTAATTAAATGATGAGAAAACCTGTATCAATTAGTATATCCTAATATAAAAATTAATTTACACTTACCCCTGGATTTCTTTTTTTCCTGATCGTACATTATGACCACTTCCATAACTCTGCCAAAGCGAATAAAATAGGATCTTAGGTCTGTCTCCGTCACATTATTTGGCAAACCACCAAGAAAAACTTTTGGGAAACCACTACTACGTTTCTGTTTCTGAAGAGTGCGTGGATTACATGGTTTTGGATCAATCTGTAATATGAAATAATTATAATTACTCGTCATTTCATATCTCTCGGCATTTTCGATATATGCGGATATACAACCGGACGAATAAATAAAACGCGACGAACGCGATGTTCCACCATTTTCCCAATACTCACGTATGCTTCGCGACTAGTTTTGTAACGGCGGACCCCTCGCGAAATAAATGGCGGTCGAAGCCAACTTCATACCGACGCCTTCTTCCCTGCCCCTCCCTCCCCGCCCTCCTCTTCCCATCGCAAACTACTTTACGAATGAAATATGCCGATCGCAAGCCCGAAATCTATCACAAATCGAGAAATTCACTTCGTACATGGTGTCGCGAACGAACACAATATTATATTTTCGCGACACTCCCGATATTCGCGGTACCACGCAATTATATCGAATCATGGCGGAAGACTATCGGACGCGCCGCGTAACCTTCGCCCTCGAATCCCTTTCCATCGCGGACTACCTGAAATAAATGGCGGTCGCAGGCAACTTCATACCGACGCCTTGTGTATCTTCCTTGCCCCCCCTCTTTCTTCCCATCGCGAACTACCTCATGAACGAAATATACCGATCGCGAGCCCGAGAAATCTATTAAGAAATACCTACTTATTATATATAAACTTTATAATCCAAATCGTTGAGTAATTCTCTATCTTATGGCGGAAGACTTTATCGGACGCGTCGCGTAACCTCCGCCCTCGTATCCCTTTCGATCGCGGACTACCTCACGAGATAAACGAATTATTATAATCGCGAGCCTGTTTGTAATCGCGAAACTAATACACCACAATTATCCTACTTACTTTTTTGTATCTGCAATTCAATCCCGAGAAAACGCGCATCCTTCCGCCACAGTGGTCTTCCCGAAAGAGAGGGATACCAACCACGAAAGTAAAAAAAGTGATGCAATAAAACAAAAGACAATCAGTGCGTGCCATAGACATAGTATATCTAGACCGAGCGTTTGCCTTTATTTAAGGAGCGGGGATAAAGATACACGTAGAAAAAGACATACTCTGTTCCGTCCCCCTTGCGTTCTCTCTCGCTCGCATCTAGCGTAGCGAAAGAGTACGCTATGCTACATGCGAGCGAGAGAGAACGCAAGCGGCACGGAACAAAGTATGTCCTTTTCTACGTGCACCATGGCCCCCACTCCTCAACACTCGGTCTAGATATACTATGTCTATGGTGCGTGCAGCCGAACAAACCGATTGGTAGCAATGCAACGTGATTGGCTTTTACTTTTAGAACCAACAAATCAACATCGAGTATTGATAAAACTCAACATTAGCAGCGGATTAACGTAACGCGGAACGAGAAGGGAACCAATGGCGAACGTTCCGCAGTTTTTGTTACGTTCGCGATTGGTTCCGTTCTTTTTCTGCGTTATGCTATTCCGTTGGGTTCGCCCCCTTATTGTTCTGTTAAACGCGGCCATTCGCTTGCGGACATAAAGCATAATAAACTCTTACGAAGAGAGAGAGAAAGAGAGAGTAAAAGAGAGAGAAAGAGAGAGAGATTTTAGATATTTTAGCCATTAAACATGAAAAAGTTTTAAAGCCATGGTACATAAAAAACTGTAAATAATAAGACGTAAGAATTTCATCCATTACTTACGAAATTTTCAACATTACTTACGCTTCAATATGGCTGCTTACGTTCTCAACTGTAATTGGCTTTCATTACATCTTAAGTCTTACTGCTTAAGTTTTTCTATGTACTATGGCCTTTAGTCATAGTCATGGCCTAATTTACACCAATATATTTTAATACCTACTTAATACTATATTACAACCACAGCCATTTCATCTTTTGAAGGAATGGCTATGATTGGCCAGTATAATATACTGCCCGACTATGATTCGTTTCGTCCCCCTTGCAAGATAAACGTAGGAGTGGAAATGGAAATATTCATATGGTGAACGTAGGATAGGTATCCCCACTCCTACGTTTACCTTACTAGTAGCGTTTTTGAATGGACGGGTTAACCCAACCCGGTACAATTAATCACTATATTTTACCATGAATTCAAGCCTTTTATTGACAGAGACGATACAATGACGTCATTAATCGCTCTGAGAGCGATTAAACCTGCTACATTCGAAAACGCTATAAGAAAAGAAAACAAAACGAATCATTGTCGGACAGTGTATATACTTACGTTAATACGTATTAAAACATACGTATTATATCGATGTGGATAGAAGCACCATAAAACTCGTACCCAACTACGCATTAAAGATTGAAGACTAAAGATTGAAATTTAATTAATTAGAACAAAAGGAGCTAAAATTTCTTTATTCTGATTAATATTACATTTCAATCTTTAATCTTCAATCACAATGCATAGTCTGATATGGGCTTAAGAGCTTATCCAAAGAAATTTACATAAATACATAATGCATATGCAATATAAACAAAATAACTAATCAAGTATCTAGGACGCTATATTGCTACCTTCTTCGTATTAAACAAATGATTGGTTGATTTTTCTGTGCATTACATATCTATGCAACTTTGTCTAAATAGACTCTAACTACATACATTTGCCCGTGTCATTAAATACAAAAAAGAGGGAGGCGTGTCGCATTTTTATAGAGGGCACACGCACTGAGTTATTGTTTCGCATCTTATGTGCACGCGTCTTCCACAGATCGAGAATAAATATTATGTCGCGAGAATAAAGTATCGTAAATGTTGAATCGAATAGTCGGGCAAGGTGAAGTCAATCATATAGTCTTATAGTCACTTTGAATTTAATGTTAGTTTAGAAATGCCACAATTGTGGTGGACGTTTCTCCCGCCAAAAACTAATCCTGTCAATATCGAGAGTGTCATACAATGTCGCGAGCGATCTTTTTTCTCGTATTCGTATCGTTAACTGTTACACCAAATCGTGACTAGATATATTCTTGTGATTGATTTGAATCTACATGCTGCCAAGGAGAATGGACTGACAATGACAATGCTCCCAATGCTTACGAACATTTGTTAGTGGGTGAGTAAATTTATTTGTTATATTCGATTAATCATTTATTTATCTCTCTGTCACAATCATAATCGACTGAAATGTATGTACACGCGAGAAATTTACATCGGTGCAAATTTATCTGGATATGCACACGGTTAGTTGCGATACGAATTGGGTCGCGAATTGGATCAGGGTAAGCAACCACGTCGATAAAAAGCAGAGTTGATAGCGCTATTAGCGCTGCGCGACCGCTAGAGGAACGAATAATCGGGAAAGCGGGAAGTCAATCATATAATCACTTTGAATTTGATGCTAGACTAGAGATGTCACAATTGTCGCGGTGTGTTGTCATGTTCGCTGCTATGAAGATTATTAATTCTCCGCAACATGCACGTGACGTAACTCGATCGTAACGCGTGTTGTCTGTCTAACAGGTCTCAACACGGTATTACAGTACGTGACCATTGTGTCACAATCAAGCGTCAACCGTTTCTGATTGCGGTCTGGCAATAATCTCTTCATTCGATAACATTTTGCTGTCAGCAAATCCTTCGAATTTTGCCTTCCGACTAACTAATTAATATATTGAATCTATTGCCTTGGTTTATCTTTTTCCAATTTAATCTAATCTGGACATACATAATTATTTTCGAATACAATATAAATGCAACATATATGTATCTCTAACGACATCAGGGAGTAGAATTATTTGTAAAATAGTTTGTAAAAAATTCTTTAAGAAAAGTTTATATATAATTAAGAATTTTATATTTAAGTTCTCGTGCGCAAAAGTTTTTTCCTCGCTTCTTTTAAAAGGAGTAAATTTTCTGAAATGAATATTTCCGAAGGGATAAAGAAATATGGACATTAATTTTTACTTAGAACATATGTATAAATGCCTCTCTAGGCATAATTATTATACGTTTATTGTTAGCATGGAAAATAAACGAGATGACGTGCAATGACTGGAAAATGATCAAGAGATATCAATGCATGTACATAAAGCTTAACGCGTATCTATCATCGAGTATACATTGATCTCTCGCCTCTTTTTTTCGTACCAAAAGAGAAAATCGACGCGTTGACTTGTACGTAACGCATTCTTACGTAAGAATGTGCGAGCGTTCATGGTTATCCGATTGTTTTCCATAGAACTGGTTAGAAGTTTCTTGAAAGTTATGTGACTGTTATTACAATAAAATTTTAGTGAGAGAGAAGATATTTATATCTACATATTTTAATCGATTATGATTAATGATAGTGACAAAAAGATAAATAAACGATAATCGAATAACAAATTTACTCACACACGAATAAATATTCGTAAATATCAAAAGTATTGTCGTTGTCAATCGTTTCAACACACCGCAAATCATATTTTCTGTAATAAAAAGAAAACAACAAATAATGTCGAACACTTTATGTGTTTTTCAATCAATATGCTGTGGCAGTTATTCTGATCAGATTGTATGCTAATATAATTTCAAACTCTCTCTTTCTTCACAGCAATCTTTTACAATCTGATATTATGGAGAAGCAGTCCAAATCTCCGAATATCGATAATTTCTCTGAATCCGACGAGAAATCATCGTCTCGCTCTATACCGAGGCATGTTTTGGAGACATCCGTCGAGCAGGCTTCACCAAGTTGGATAGATTACGTTAGGTATTATATTCTTTGATTAGAATTATTTTAAACTAATATTGCCTATTACAAGATATCAAAATTAATATTATTATTAAAATTTATAATAAAATTAATATTAATCTGTAAATAAAATTTTATTTACTTGCCTTTATATTTTTTAATAATTCGAGTTTATTTGAATTATTAAGAATTGTTTAGAGTAACATTGTACATGCGCGTGTTATTTTCTTGCATAATAAAAAATTATAATTTTCGAAGAAAAATATTTTTGATATTAAAATAATTTCTACACAAGATTAAATTGTTTGAGATAGAAATTGCAGAATCAAAAATTTATTTACT